GGTAGGGGTTAGGGGGTAAAGTTGTCGCTTGGCTGCAGAAGGCAGAGTTGATTGCGAAACTTACGAAAATAACAGATGTGGCAAGTTTTATTCCACTGTATTTGGAGGGTGGGGCCTTGGCCGTTTACATGGAGATGGATAGTAGAGAACAGCAGGATTTTGATATGATTAAGAAGCGGTTGAAGGAGGCTTTCACAGACAATGAGTTTATGGCATATTGTAAGCTGCGCGAATCGCGATGGACAGGGGAACCAGTGGATGTATTCGCAAATGAACTGAGGAGGCTGGGAAGGACATGTGGGCTGGAGGGGGCCGGGCTTGATAAAGTCGTTCAGTTGGCTTTCGTGACAGGGTTTCCTGGGAGCGTGTCAGTGGAACTTCAGCAGATAATGGGGGTTCAAACAACGATTGGTATGTCTGAGCTGGTTGGGAGAGCAAGGATACTCACGGTCAACAAGGGCGGAGTGGGCATGGCTGCACCTGCCTTGTCAGTGGGAAAGGACTCAGGTGGGGTGGGGGGGAAGTATGGGAAAGGGTGTTATGGGTGCGGGGGGGCCCCATTTGTTACCGGACTGCTCGAGTGACAGAAGGAAACCGGTTATCTGCTACCGTTGTGGGGGTGAAGGGCACATAGCTGCTCATTGCACATATGAGTTGAAGGGGAAGCCCAAAAGTGGGCGGGGGGTGGGTGGTGGAGGTGCCCCCGGGGGTGCAAGCGGGATAAGCGCCGGTGCGGCAGAGGACAGAGGAAGTCGTAGGTGTACCCGTAATCAGTGAGTGTAACCGTCGGAGGACAACTGCGACGTGCTCTTGTGGACACCGGATGTTCGAACACGATGATCAGGGTAGGGCTGGTAGGCGGTTGGGAGGGTGAAGTTCGCACAAAAGCATTTGATGGGAGAATTGTGAAAGGCAAGGGTACCACTGAAGTTGAGATAGTAGTAGATGGGAAGAGTGTGACGGCAAAATCGACGGTGGTAGATAGACTGGTGGGTGATGTCGACTTAGTTATTGGGATGGATGTGATTCGGAAGCTGGGGGGGGGGT